TGACTGACTGAATTATTATTATTATTGTTGTATAAATGTATGTTATATTGATTAAAAATAAAATAAAATTAAAAAGTGAGCTTTTACATATTGAATTTCCCTCTGGGATAAATAAAGTATTTTTCATTTCATTTCATATTTGAAAGGTTGGGGAGCAGGCTGCAGAAGGTTCTGTAGGAATGAGTGCGAGGATGGTCGAACAGGGAGGAGAAGGGGTTGAGAATGGAGAGGTGAAGGATTAGGTTACTGGGGATGGAGCAGCTCGGCTGGAGGTACAAGTAGGGCAGTTTTACTCACTGATGTTTGCTCAGTGGCTCGCAGCAGGCAGGCGGAAGCAGCTTCAGTGGTGTGGCCCATATTAGATTAACCGATGGGCTGCAGAGAATGACTTTAGCTGCACATAAACATGGGTCCAGCTGCTGATTGGGTCGGGCCTTGTCAGACAGAACTGGGGCGGTGTGTGCATCTACTGCTGGTTACTGATTGTTGGTACGTTTTGTTGTCTGTGAGAACCAACAGGAAATATTTGCACAGTCAAAAAAATCAGTAAAACATCAGCTGTACTTGTCCCAGATATGTTTGGTCTCCTTGTGTATTCCAGTGTTAAAGGTACACTAATAAAACATGTTGTGTGTTCCAGCATGTGGACATGTGGTGTTTCGATGTCTTTGCGCTGAACGATGCCAGTGGAGACCACGCCCTGAAGTTTGTCTTCTACGAGCTGCTCACCAGATATGACTTGATCAATCGCTTCAGGGTAAGCTTCCACTGCAGGACCCGAATAGCCCAATAGCCGACTATTCGTTGGGAGTGCCGGTGTCAGAATGCCAATTTGATCTCCGACTACTCGGCCTCCTGCCTCCTGCCTCCTGCCCCCCCCCACCCCTCCGGTCAGCTCCTACGCTGAGGGTGGATACAGGACTGTGACTGGCGATTGCGGAGACGCGTCTTTCATTGATATATGTTTTATTTATAATAATGTTACTAATACTGGCCGCCACCACGGACACAGCGCCCCGCCCCGCCGTAGCCGCGGCTGGCTGTATCGGGAACGCCAATTCGGACCGAATATCCGGAGACCACAAATTGCCATTGGGACCAGCCCTATTGGTAGCAGATGTCTTTGTGGGAAATTCAAGTTGTCAAATGGTGTTCTGTTGGCCGACAAAACCACAAAATGTGAAAAAATACTTCCAGGTGGAATAAAGTGGAGTTTAATGTGATCACGGCTAGCTTAAACGATGGCGTCAGCTCCCGTCATTTATCAGCTTCTCTCTCGTGTTGTCTGTCAGGTTCCAATCTCTGCACTCATATCATTTGTGGACTCCCTGGAGGTGGGCTACAGCAAACACAAGAACCCCTACCACAACCTCATCCACGCTGCTGACGTCACACAGACCATCCACTACCTGCTGCTCAAGACTGGCATGGTGGTAAGCACCAGTCTTCATCAACCTCTTCAGAGCAGTCAACAGGATTCAGTGGACCAGCTTCTCTGAAGTCAAAACCTGCCAGAAGGTGTCCATTTGTCTTCAACATTCGGCCAGTCTGAATGAATCATTGTCATAGTTGGAAACTCAATCCAGTCGGGATTACAAAGATGTTGTTACATTTCCATATGCTCTGGTTCTGCTTGGTGGTCTGGCCCTGGTTTGGGACCTTCCTGCCCTTCTAAGAGCATAAATGGAACATCAAAGGCAGCGAGAGCAGCCCCCACCTACAGATCAGATGGAATCAGATTAACTTATATGGGATGTTTAAAAGGCCTGAGTTGACCGAAGCGCTGGACATGTAATGTACAGACCAGAACAGGCAAAGACAACAGACAGACATGAAGTCAGATACATACTGAGCAGGTGGAGCTACGGTGGATTGTTGACAGAGCTTGCAGTGGAAGCAGCAGAGTATGCAATAAAACAGCATAAGTAGAGTCCCTGTATTAGACGGGCCATCGAGATGACAACAAGCTTTCAGACAGCATCCAGGCTTTGATCAGTCTTCATAAATATGATAATTGAGGCCAAAAACTAAGTCTTACCAAAGACTTTAACTGATTTTTGAGATTTTATTTTCCCAGACGTGAGATTTTTTCATTTTTACCTTCAAAAAAACATCTGACCTGGGAAGTCCTTCTGTTTTCAATATTTTCAGAAATAGAGCTCCTACAGCTGTAGAGGCCACAAAGAAAACATCCATCCATCCGTCATCTCTACACCTTAATCCTCACTAGGGTCATGGGGGGCAGAGCCTATCCCAGCTGACTCAGGGTGAAGGCAGGTTCACCTGGACAGGTAACCAGTCTATCACAGGGCTACACTTAGAGACAGACAACCAAGCACACTCACATTCACACCTACGGACAATTTACAATCACCAATTAACCTCAGCATGTTTCTGGACTGTGGGAGGAAGCCGGAGAACCCGGAGAGAACCCACGCTGCACGGGGAGAACATGGAGACTCCACGCAGGAAGATCCCGGGTGTCCTCACCGGGACACCAACCGGCGACCTTCTAGCTGTGAGGCAACGGTGCTAACCACTGATCCACCTGCAGCCTAAGTTCTGAACCGTGTTCTGGAAACAGAGGCTTTATTGTCATTGTGCAAAATGCAGCGAAACGTTTGTGGTAACTCACAGCAACCATCAGCAGAACCGTGTGAGTATCATGTTAAATAGCTGAGTTAACATGAAGCCGGTTTGTGGACTTCAAGGTACAGAATTAAGAGGGCTGAGGATTCAGAGGATGCTCTGTGATTGTCACTCTGATCACATCACATGCCAAACAGCTTCTGAACAGCACTTCCTGTTCCTGTTAGCACCTCCTGTCTCGTGCTGCTAAACTGCTCCACCACCAGGTGGTGCTAAAGACCACTCAAAGGGAAACGATAGACTGATTCCAGTACGGGTCCATGTAAACTCCTTGTGTTTGTTGCCCTTGGTTCTCTTGTTCTTATTGGTCTCACTGAGTCGTGGTGCCTTTGGAGCAACTTAGCTATGAAGGCCTGGTTCTCACAGTGTCCTCCAAGGAGTGGATGCTGACCTGTCGACCTGTCAAAGTCATTTCTCTCCAGCATGACACGTCTTCAGGTTGGGAGGAACCAGAGTAGGCAGAGAGAGAACATGGCCGTATGAATGGTTGCAGTAGCGGTGGAAGGCTGTTTGCTGTCTACCGCCACCGTCTCTGCACAATACAGCAAATGGTCTCACCTGCATGAAGGACACTATTTAACTTTGACATGGCTCACCTGCCAACTGGACCGATCCAGATGATGACCTTGTTATAGACACTGTGTTCTTTATTGTTCTACACTGAGAAGCTCCAGTCGTGTGTCCATACTGTTGACTGTAGTGTGGACTACAAGTCAGGTTCTATCTGTCTTATTATTCATGCCCATTATTTTATCCATCTGTAGTTGGCTTGTGAACTTTTTGGAGGTTCAGCTGAAGCAGGGCCTTGAAGACCAGTTTTCCACACCATGTGGTTCTGACAGACGGTGTCAGTGAAGCAGAACACATTCATAAAAGCTGAACCTACTTCAGGACAGGTTCTCTCTCCGATAAGCCTGTTTATGGGCTGAACACCTGTTTTCCAAAAGTCTGACTTCTGTCTTTTGTCTTCTTTCTCCCGTGATGTGACCTTCCAGCACTGGCTGACTGAGCTGGAGATCTTTGCCATAACGTTTGCAGCTGCCATCCACGACTATGAACACACAGGGACCACCAATAACTTCCATATTCAGACCAGGTAACTTGTACCCAGCAACATCTGAATCACTACAGTTTGTGAAGCCACTGAGGATAGAACAGCATCAACCTGGACCCTGTAGGCTGTGAGTTCGTCTGCGGACCAGTCAAGTCACAAACATTTAATGTCTCAAGGCCTGGGCTGTTATTTGTGGGGTTGTTTTTCTGTCTTCATAACTGATTGAACAGTTGTGAAAACTTTACCATAAAAATAAAACTATGGGTGGGTGGCCAGATCCAAGCAGAGCAGAGTTCTGGAGTTTGGTTCTCCAGATATAACAAACGTTGATCCCACTGTGCGGGCTGGAGACGTGGTGAACCTGCTGTACTTATGAAAGTCTTTCTGGAAGATAATTCACCACTTCAGTCTTGTTCATGTACACCAAGTGCATCAGATTACCATAATTATTATTCATGTAAAGGCATTAATCATAAGCTGCCACCCCAGAAGATCAACGTATTTGGTCATGGTTATATTATGCTGACGTCATCTGGAGTTTGAGAATATATATGAATTTATTAATATGGGCATATTTTGTATATTTGGACCCTGCTTTGTGGGCATAAACCTCTGGAAGTATCCCAGCATCAGGTAATTAGGATGATGTGATACAGCACCATGTAGCCATGACCACATACAGACATACTGAGCACTGTGGACAGTTTGAGTGGATCAGAACTGATTCTCTTGCTTTGTGTTCCGTTGGGAATAAACTGGGCCATCAGGACCCAGGTCACAAGCTGGACTACCAGGTGTGTCAGAAACGTTCCAGAACTGGTGTCACTCAAGGTATATTTCAAACCCAAACCCAAACTACCAGTTTTCCCCGACAGACGATCAAGCAGCACGTCTGGTACCCCTTCTCCACCGAGCTGGTTCCAGTGCCAGCTCAGAGCCAGAGACTGACTCAGCACCAGTTCTTTGTGTGTCCACCACCTAAGCACCGGCTCCAGGTTCTCAGAACTGGTACTTAGCAAGAACCAACTCTCTGCTGGGCCAGAGCTAAGAACAGAGTACGTCAGGTTCTGGTTCTGGGGGCGGGTTATCGGGACCACAGAGACCGATGGATGGGACACAAGCGGTGATTTGTGTCGTTTTTCTCCAGGACGTCTCTGGTCCGATCACAGATGTACTGAATGAGTCCCGGGACACACAGAAGTTCTGCACAAACTGTTGAAATCCGGTCCAACTGTGTCCCAGCAGCAGCAGCAGCACAGTGGTGGAGAACAGAACTTTAATACCTTCGGTGTGCTGCAGTATTTACACTTAGAGATGAGATGTTCTGATGAGAAACGGAGCTCAGCTACACGCTGTTTATTCTGCTCATAGAAAAGACTTCATGAGAACAATCACTGGGCTTCATCCTGGACAGATGTGACACCAGAACCTCCTGATTCACTCTGTTAAAGTCATCTTTGGTCTGAGCACCGCGGCCACCAGCAGCAGCTAGCGCAGCCCGCTATGTGGGGCGTTCAGGGAACATGGTAAATTGCAAGTGCTATGTTTTTCTGTGACAAGGTGGGAAGTGCAAAAGTTGGTCGCACTGGTAAACAAAAGAACAAAGTCAGTCTGGAGTCCTGTGTGGACTCCCGCTGTTCGGTAAACGGCTCCGTATGCAGTGACGTATGGCCACTCGGAGAGACGCGTTTTGATCACGTTGCTGATGAATTCATGCCAAAACAGGTGCTTTATGGGTAAACTGTGGGGCGTGGCCAGGCAAGTTCCTTTAATGTGTCCTAAACACCGTGATGACCAGGGCCATTTAGTCCCTGGTCATATGAACGGAGTGGAGAGGCGGTCTGTTCACAATAAATCTATTCTGTCTTCACAGCCTTTGAACAGTGGTGCCTTTTTATAGAGATACAGCCTGCAGGGACCTCCAGGGTAGAAGGGCTTCAATGAACTGTTTTTATTGTTCAGAGGCTGAAGCTGAATGTGGCTGTGTGGTTTTTGCAGGTCAGACACAGCCTTGCTGTACAACGACCGAGCGGTTCTGGAGAACCACCACGTCAGCGCTGCCTACCGCCTCCTTCAGGACGATGGCGACATGAACTTCCTCACTAATCTGTCCAAAGATGACTGGAGGTGAGAGCAGCAGCATGCACACCTGATGTTTAGCCAGTAGTCTGCTGACATGTCCTCCTGCTGAACAGCAGCAAGGTGCAGTGAGGCTGGATGTGTCTTTACTTTCACTGCTATTTGGCTTTAAATGGAGGTGTTTGACAATACTGACTGGTTGATGATGCTGGATGGTGAGTTCAGGAACCATTGAAGTGTCTTTGTCTGTTTGGTTTTATTATTATTTTAAAGAGGACGTTATTGTTCAGGGCTGCAGGTGATCAGTGGTTAGCACCGTTAGCGCCTCACAGCTAGAAGGTCGCCGGTTGGCGTCCCGGTGAGGACACCCGGGATCTTCCTGCGTGGAGTCTCCATGTTCTCCCCGTGCAGCGTGGGTTCTCTCCGGGTTCTCCGGCTTCCTCCCACAGTCCAG